CACTTTTGCTAAGCTTTTTTACGGAAATAATAGGAGAAGAAAAAGTTCGAGTCGAAAAAAAAATACTGAATTTACAAAGTTTTCATTTTTCCGCCTCGCGTATAATTTGCTTAGTTTTCTTGATTGAAGTTCTGAAATTAAAGTTTAGATATGATTTTGTAGAGCATTGCATGGCGCTTCTATTAAAAAAATAATTTGTTCTAGAGGACCTAAGAAACAGGAGTTCAAGCAAAAATACCAAAATCGGGTTCACCATTAGTTTTTCTTTTTTGTGAAGCACATTTCTAAGTCTATTACTCTCTTACTATATGAGCTAGCGGGGCAATCAAAAGCTATTTTGTAGAGCATGTTTTACTGCGTCTTTTCATCATAGAGAGAGTTTTACAAACATGTGTTTTACTTTAGAAAAATTATTATATAAATCGAGTCAGGACTTCTGGGCCACCCTTTATGCCTCATTAAGAAAGGTTTTGGTCATTTTTTAGAGTTTCTGAAAAACTGGTTTTCCAGAAAACCAGTCTCTGGAGGCCTAGACGCCTATATCACTATGATATTCGAACTTAGCACACTCGATTATCTATTGTCCACTAGATTTTGTGGAAAGCACAATCGGACAGCTGGAGTGGTTTCCTCGTTAGCGTATTTTATAGAACTAAAAAATATTTTAGAATTCTTTCCTCCACATTCTAAAAATGGATAAGAGTGTTTCATGTCTTTTCCACCTCTAATACATTAGGCCTGCTGTAAAATTCTGAAACCTTTTTCACACGTTTAGAAGAATGATATCCAATAAAAGACTATTTTATTCCGTTTCTAAATCTTATCACAATTTTTTAGTACCCTAGACTTCATGGTTTTTGAAGATGGTTCTGAAATGTTTTTAGTTTTGATAATCAAAATAAGAAATATTTTACTCTTTGAAACTCTGTTTTCCTGCATTAGTTCCTGCATTTAGTTAACCTACACATTTTTTTCTAGAATGTAAGCACGATTACTATTCTCTTTTCAGTGCATCCAATTTTTCTGATATACGATCCCATGTAGTCAAGATCGGCAAATCGACGATCTTTTAGCGATTAATCAGCCGCTTAATAGTAAATAAATCGGCGAATTATTGAAAGTGTTACAGTGAAAGAGTTACGTAACTCTTTCAATGCCATACATCAAAGTTCAAATGAATATCAGATACTCCTTTGTTTTGAAGTTGCCTATAAAGTAAACCGATAGAGATACGTGTTATCAGATCATTGAGGTCATTTACACTCGACACTAGTTTATTTCTATTAATTTAAAAAAAAAAAATTGTTTTGTATAGGTTGTAAACGTATGCTTATTACCGACGATTGGTATCCAGCCATTCAAAAATCAAACGTTCATCTAATTACAGACAATATCAAAAAAATAAATGAACATGGTGTTGTCACGTGTAATGATAAAGAGTATGAAGTTGATACAATTGTATGGAGTACTGGTTATAATGTACACAATTGTTTAATTGAATTTTACGGTCAAAAGGGAATTAAATTACAGGATCAATGGTCTCTAAGTACACAAGCCTATCGTGGTGTAACTGTACCAAATTTTCCTAATTTCTTTATTTTATTAGGACCAAATTCAGCTTTAGGGCATAATTCCGTACTGATTATGATCGAAAGCCAATTTGATTATATAATTGATTGTCTTAAATATATGAAAAAAAATCAGTATGAAGTACTGGTCGTCAACGCCAATGTATGCAACCAATATAATAAAGAAATACAAAAGAAGTTGAAACATACAGTATGGCAAGAAGGAGGATGTTGTTCATGGTATCAGGATAAACTTGGAAATAATACAACACTGTGGCCTGGTTTCACCTGGACTTATTGTCTTTTGATGAAGCATTTTGATTATCAAAACTATCAATTCGAAAAACGTCATGATGATAACGAAAAAAATGCAATTCAATAAATAATTCTGATCGAATCGTTTCGGTGCCACGTACTGGTCGATTTTCATAGCACAAATTTTGTCTTGACAATCTGTAGATATGTGGTTATTTTCTCGCCAAGGTCTATGCAGATATTGCTGTTTAGTTTTTCGATATTTAGTTATTTCGAAAAGAAGTGGGGCACGAAATTGGCTCTGGAACAGATATCTCTTTCTCCGCCTTGCAGTGTTTAAAAGTTCGTTCAGTGATTTGTTCACATGATCAGGCGACGATCATCTTATTTTCTGTTAGATATATATAAACAAAATTTGCAGCTAAAAGCATGTATGAGTACAACCATCTCTGGTAAAAGACTTGATTTTAAAACATTTGATAGTCCGGACCAGTGCGGATCGTATC